CTATATATATATATATATATCTTAATGCTTAAAATTAAACTAAACAATTTTTCTAATAAATTACTATTTTAATGGAGAAGAGAGCATACAAGTAAACTCAAACAAGTATTATTGAATCTTGATTTGTCTGTGAACAAACTCCAAGTAATAGAGTATAAGTTGGAAGATAGAGAGAGAAGTGCATAATAATCAACAATAATTTTAAAAGAGGCATGCAACCAATCAAGTTAAATTTGCTCGATTAGCTAAGCTTTCGTCTTTGGCTTAGACTGCATTCCCTTGGCCGGTCTTTAATTCCAGCTTAATGGTTCTTGCACATAGCTAGACAAGTTTTCTAGTATTTCGGTAAATAAAACTTAGCCTTATGACGTATGAAACTTGTTTTTCACATAGGGAGTTTTGATCTTCCCCCCATGGGTCCTCGGCTTTCCATCCACGAGCACTTAGTCATTTGATCGTGGGTCCAATTGAACTATTCTCTTTTGTGCCATTTGTCCATTAGATTTTCTCGAGATTCGAGTAGACGTATTTCTTATGCACGCATATATTTAATCTTTTGTATTGAGTAGACTACTCCCCGATAACTCGTTATATTTTACATTAATTTTATTTTATTGAGAGATGTTTGGAGGGTAAAATTTTCAGAAGACATATTAATTGAATATAAACACTAAAATGCGCTCAGACAAGTGCTCGGCTAGGAATAATCGGGTAGGGAGTGATCGAGCTTGAACAAGAAAAGCAAAGTGGGAAGATCAGGTTTTAGGGCAGGGAAGTATTCGAAATCGACGCAGGGAGGAAGAAGGAGCTCGGGTGTGGCACCGGAAATCGCCAGAGCTTCTGTGCAGGGGCTTCGGCGTGCAGGCTTTCGAAGGCAAAAGAGAAGGGGATTGCGGGAAATCAGAGGGGAATCCCGCGAAGATTAGGGCAGAGCAGGCTTCGTGAGATTCGGTGCAGGGAGGAAGAAGGAGCTTGGGAACAGAGGCGGAGGGTTGCGCGACAGGGAAGAGTTCGGCTCGGGCTCGCGAGAACAGGACAGAGAGGAATCGCGGCAGTGGAAATGCTTATAATATATAAAATTATAAGCTCATTTTTTCTGACTAAGAATATACATTACAATCAATATAATAAACTAATAATCTTGGGGTACTCATCCAAACATAAATGACACAAACGTCCATACTAACATAAGGGTAAGATCATCATATACCAGTCTATCACTTTTGATGAACAATCATAAGCGCATGCTTCTCAATCTACTAGCATCTCTCATACAAACCCAACTACCACTTCCAATCCATTACTTCTTACGCCTGTGCTTCATACTAACTCTTCCACCAACACAACCACAACAAAATCTGTATTTATTCCACCAGCGGATTCCTCTCTACATGAGAGAACAGAAAAAAACCTACAACTTTCTTTCACTGGAGGCAAGCAATGAATGAGGAATTTCATGCTATGTAAGCCAAAGCTACATGGGAATTGGTACCACTACAAGTAAACCAACCAATCTTAGGTTGTTGGTAGACTTATTGCACCAAATTTAACTCAGACGAATTAATGGCCAGATACAAGGCGTCACTGGTTGCACAAGGATATAAACACGATTTGGGAGTCAATTGCCATGATACCTTTAGCCCATTTGCAAAAATGCCTACTTTTCAAATCTTATTTACTATAGCATTTCAGAATCAATGACCAATCTTTCAGTTTGACATATCCAATGTGTTTCTACATGATTCTTTTTGCGGAATAGTTTATTTGTAACAACCTATTGGTTTCACTGATTTCCAACTTCCTAATCATGCTTTCTTAGTCAAAAAGGTTATCCATGGTCTTAAGAATTCTCCTAGGCAATTGTTAATTGCCACCATCTCATCATTCTTCATAGACCTATGGTTTGAATTCAGTAAAGCCGACGCATCTTTTCTCATCTCCATACAATCTACTCATTGCATATTTTTTCTCCTCTATGTTGATGATATTCTAATCACAGGGGAATGTGAATCTATCATTGCAGAGCTAAAAAAAAAAGAGATTCATTTTAGATTTCAGGTTAAGGGCTTGATATCCAAATTTTTGGGAATTGAAATCATTCACACCGTCTCATTCCTCTTTTCAATGGAGGTATTTTCATCAACTCTTTACATACTGTAGACATTTGGGGATGTAAGACTCTGTCTACACTGCTGCCTATGCAAAGCTAAATGAACGGCCATCGGTCATACAACAACTGGAAGAGTCAACTGTCTACATGCAACTAACCACATCCCTGCAATATCTCACAATAGCCAAACTGACATCCCGTTCGATGTCAATCACCTTTGCAAACATATGCCTAATCCTTCAACTTACCACCATCAATCACTTAAAAAAGTTAATTTCGATGTCTATAGGGTACCCCTGACCCCCTTCTTATTTCATCAACAACTCTCAAATTACAAACCTTCTCAAACTTTGATTGGGCTGTTGATTCTACCAACCACAGTTTCAACACTGATTTTTGCTTGCACTAGGGAATCACACTAATCTCATGGATGATCAAGAAGGTACATATTATTATTCAGTCATCGACAAAGATGGAATATCGTGCCCTTGCAACTACGACATCTGAAGTCATACAAAATTTTGACATTCCTCGACTGATGTCAACAAAGCTACATTGTGATTATCTTACGAGCATGGCTATCACAAATAGCCCAGCGTTTCATGCTCGCACGAAACATACTGAAATTAACAATCACTTCATATGTGATCACATTCAATTAGAAAAGCTGCAAAATCAATATACCGACACTCATTATCAACCGATCGATATTCTACAAAACCTTTTTCGAATGCAAATTTATCTTTATCTCCGTTTCTACTATTCTCCTTTATTCTTTATTTTTATGAAAAAAATAGAGAGCTTGAGTTGTAATGAATACAAATTTATAGGTTGTTATTTAAAGACAAATTTGTAGAAAACTGTAAACCTTCTTTTTTGTAATGTTTAACCCATGTATTTTGATTATGCGCACCATTAATTTAAGAACATGTAGGATTTGGAGATGGCATTTTTGTTGATTAGCGGAAGGAGGAGAAAGATGGGAGTTTCATACCCGCAATCCCGTCGACCGGAAGAGGCCAGAGCTCCGACGACTTTGTTTAACACTATTAACACGGTGCAGAGTATGTAAATATGAAAATTTAGGTGTGAGATTTGTACCATTAATTGTTTTAGTTGCTCTGCATGTAAATTCCCCTTAATTCTTTTGGGATACATGCAATGCAACTTGGTTAATAGAGCTAATGTTTTATTTCATCCACATTTACTACTCTATGATGATTTATTACAGGCTTTAGGTATGGTATAAATAGATTGATAGTATTTAAAATACAATTTTATTATCTAAGAAGATATTATATTAAACATACTACTATATTTGAGATATTTGTAGCATTGCATTATATTATTATATCAGTAATACTAATAATTAGGAAGATTTATATACTTATCACTTTATATATCCAACACCTATACTTTAATTTTTTATATACATACTAGTTTACCTATGCCCTAAAATGTGTATTTTACTTTTTTTTTTAAGTAAAAATGATAATATTTTTGATATGGTATGAAGGATTTGGATGATAAAATATAAATGCCCCTAATATTTCTAACACTAAATCAATTTGATGGAAACAAAAAAAATGTGACATATTCCACACTAGGATGGGCTAAGAAAAATTATCATTCAATATTAAGGGGCATTCACTTGCATGGCACACAATTCTTATGTATTTGTATTTCTCACATCTAAACTTTCATCTCTATACACTCAAATTTATAATATCACATAAAAAATAGCTTGGCTATCATTTTTCATGCTTAAGTAATATATATTTTCATGCATAAGTTTAAAAAATCAAAATAATATGTATGTACATATGAAAGTTTATGTTTGAGATATGTTAATATATAAAAATTGATGTTAATTTTCATTTGTCATATCATAAGAAAAAATAATATATATCCTATTTTAATTTTATTAATTAATTTATTTATTAAATGAGTTAAATATTAAAATAATTTCTGACTATTTACATTAGACCGTATTAGTTTTAGAGCTTACAATAATAATTTATATATTCTTTAAATTGGGTCTGAAACAGTCGACATTAAGAGCTATTAGAGCTCAGTTTTAAAATAGTTCGTACTGCTTTGACACTTTTATAAACTCTAAGACTAAAAAGACTCGTGTAAATAGTTGTTGATTACTTTTGACACTTTATTCTTTATTAAATGGTAAACAAATAAATCATATATTATGTGACTTAGATTTTTAATTTTAGAAATAAAATCGCCTATTTTAATTAATAATAAAATTTTTTTTTTTCACTCTGAATAAAGATTGAGTAAAATTGAATATGGATATATGCTGACATATTGATTTTCAAATCCGTTTGAATTTCATGAATCAATCTCATCCGCCCTCCGTACTTTCTATATAAAAATATGTTCATAAAGGTCATTTTAATTTGAACTTGTTTGCAAAGCGGAGAGAGACGGGATCTGATCATCTGAGAGCCTCTTCTTACTTGTTTCTTCCAGGTGTGGCCATGGGAGACCTTGTCTAAACCCTAACCCTAGCTGCCGGCAGTTGTCCCGCTTACCGATATACTCTCTATCGCTCCCCGCCCATCCTTCGGACGAGCGGCGGCGGTGGAGTCGGAGCCGGAGCCGGGATGGAGAATCACAAGAGAAATGTTCCCCGTCCTCGGGTTCGAGTAACGGCTAAGAAGCGGGGGAAGGAGTCGGAATCCTCCACAGGATCCTCGAAAAAGCCGCGGAAAGGAGAGTGCGTGAATTCAGTCACCAAGCTCCAGCGGCGCGAGATCGGAGGGTTTCCTAGAATCGCTCGGGGCACCTCGTCGAATGCACCCGAGAAATTCCGGAACATACAGCTTCAGGTTCGTCCTGCTCTGCAAGGCTTTTGCGAAATCATATTTCATTTCAAGCCGCGGCAGGGTTTAGTTACTGGGGCTTCGGAATTTGCCCTAACCTTTTTTGTTGATTTTGGATCCCCTCAGCTCATTCTGGATTGGCATCATATTACCGCGGTTTTGGTCAAAAATCCTGCTTGTCGTAGCTTGTTTGTTCTTGCGTTGCAGTTTAGTAGCACGGTTGGACGTAGTATTAGGGTTTCTGCCTTGCGTTAGAGGTGGGATGGCTTGCGGGTGTGATTATGGTTTTAGGGGCTTTTTATTTGATTTGGCCACTCTGGTACTATATAATCCTCACAGTTTGAAATGGTTTTAATTTGATGCTTCTAGTTCCTTTAAGGATACATATTGCATATGAAACTAATTGATTCTACTTTCTACAATGACTAGTTGCCATCATATGCTTGTACACTGGAGAATAAACTTCTCAATTTATGACTTTTATCGAAGCCTATGGATGAGCGCAGAAACGCGTTCCTTCTAGATTTGTTAAATTCCCTTATAACTAATTTAATCCATGCTGTTATGAATTATTGTTTTGGCGGCTTTCTCTATTTGCATATTTTGATTTCCAGTGCTTAACTGCAGGATTCATAATGCGCTAATTTTTTTTAGGCACGCGGGCCTGCATATTTATATCACATCAAAATTTACTTATATAACACTAAAAATTTTCACTTGACATGCATAACACTCATATCTTTAATATCACATACAAAATACCACCCTTACTAACTTTATAAAAGTGAAATACATTTTTTCATGCATAAATTTATAACATCAAAGTGATATAAATGTAAATGTCGAACTTTTAAATGTTAGATATGTAAATACATAAGAATTGTGTGGTATGTATGTAAATTTCCCTTTTTTATTTTTTGAGGGACTGCATTGTTGTTTTATTTGGCATGACACTTTTCATAAACTTGATTGTTATGGATTTTCTTATCAATTTTTTTTATTAATAAAGGTGTTGCTTGAGGCAGAATAAGACTGAAGAAGTTGGGATATCTTGAATTCTTTCTGTTTGTATTAGAAGCATGACTTGGAATGATTGCAGAAAATTTCTTTTGAAGCATTTATATTCTGTCTGACTTTACTTCTTAGAATGCTTTGGCTTCCGAAAGCTGTGTCAATCACCGAACAGTACTCTAACTCAGCCCGAGGAAAGAAGATTAGATTTCTGAAACTTTCTTTTTTAAATAAAATGTGTTCCTTTGAATATTTTTAGTTTTATAAGTCATGTTTTGGCTATATGCTTATTGAATGTGAAATAGTGTTCTACGCCTAGATATTTGTCTTTGAAAAGAGAAAAAAGACTGTTCAAATTTAGTAATTAGAATATCACATGGTATGAATTATTAAATTATTTTCAAAACTGGTTTTTAAAACATGGTTTATGTATTTTTTAGAAAATCATTCCATTTTACTTCAACTTTATCCTCTTTGCCATCTTTATCCCTTTATGGGTAATTGCATCCATGAATTTATTATTAGCCCTTTTTTTACCTCTTTGTTCACCTGTCAGTTTCTTGTGTTCAAACTGAAGGAGGATTGACAAAATATTTTCCTATTTCTGTTGGTTTACATCAGGGATCGACTTTAAGCCCATATCTTTTTGCTTTAGTTATGGATGGTCTTACTGAACATCTACAAGAGGATGTACCTTGGTGTATACTTTTTGCTGATGATATTCTTCTCGTGGATAAAACGAGAGAAAAAGCCCAGGAAAAACTTGAATTATGGAGGTCTACATTGGAGTCTAAAGGCCTTCGTTTAAGTAGAACTAAAACTGAATACATGGAATGTAATTTTAGTAGTAATAGCTCTAGTGACAGAAGTGTGACTTTGGGTGATCAAATTATTAAAAGGTGTGAACGATTTAGATATCTTGGGTCCGTTGTCCAAAGCGATGGTGATATAGATGGGGATGTTAATAGTAGAATTCAAGTTGGTTGGTTGAAGTGGAGGAATGCTTCGGGCCTTTTGTGTGATAGAAAAGTACCGCTAAGACTGAAAGGAAAATTTTATAAGATGGTGGTGAGACCTGCAATGCTCTATGGCGCTGAATGTTGGCCTTTAAAAGAGAAGCATAACGAACGACACCTGTGTTGTTACCAACGAAGCTCCTCTTTTTTTTTCTATTAATTAATTAACTTTTCAAAATTTTTTAATCGTTTATTGTTACGTCTTAGATGGTTTGGTCATATTAAACGTCGACCATTAGATGATCCGATTAGGAGAGTAGATGTTTTAAATTCGACTTGTGTTAAGAAAGGCAGAGGTAGACCTAGGAAGACTTGGGCTTATTGTATTAAAAATGATCTTAATTTACTAGAACTAAATGAAAATATGACACTAAATAGGACGCAATGGAGAAAAAGGATTCATGTAGCCGACCCCACGTAGTGGGATTAAGGCTTTGTTGTTGTTGTTGTTGTTGTTGTTCACCTGCCAGTTTCTTAAATAATTTATGCACCATATACTCTTGAGGATGGTGCTGATTTATCATTAAAGAATCTAGTGCTTAATCGGGTATATGCGATATTAATGATTACTTTTAACATCAAGATGTATGTGAATCTACTATAGAAATATGCTTGCGTCATCTTTTTACTTTTTTTTGGACTGTTAGTGAGAGGAGCATCATTTATGCTGGTGTGAGAATATCAGTCTTTTTTTATCACAAGTTTGTTTTTCTCTTGTTTTTCCTTCATTTAGTTATATATTCTATAATTTTATAATTTATTTTGAGCTTATTAGTTTTCCATTTTATTACTACTATGGTGATTCTAGGCGCTCGATAATTGTCCTTGTATTTATCAACCTTGAAACCTATACCAATAAAAACTTGGTAGTTATTGTTATTATGATATTTGTGATGGAAACTAATTTTGGTGGTTTATCATAGTAATATGCTTCATCATTGTCCTTTATTTGATACTAAACAAATATTGATATGTTTTTTAAATTTTTGAAGGACAAGGAATTTAGGATCAGGAGAACGAAGATCGAATATATAGGATGCAATTTAATTTGCTTGGAACTGCTAGTAATGAGCCAATATAATTAGATCTTGCTAATGTTATATCATTTAGTTGAGATATAGCTTTTAGGGTTAAGATTGAATGTTTAAATGGAGAAGTTCTTTAACATTCATTTGTGAACAAGTAATATAATGGAAACCTAAAAAGCATTTTTTATGAAATTATGAGTTGCCCAACCATGTTATATAGATTCAATTGTTTGATGACAAATAAGACATTGAATGCCAAGTTGAGCATAAATGAGAATGCTAAGATGGATGTGTTGTGAAAATCAATATAGATAGTATTAAACAAAAGAGATTATTGGGGCGACTGTATTCAATATAAGATAATGTGAAATAGACATTGGTTTGTGTATGTATAAAAGAGGGTAGAAAAGGATATTAGATGAAATTAGTGTTGAAGAATTAGAAAAGCAAATTGGTTACCTCAAAGGCAAGGATGTCAAAAAGCTCGTTGCTCACGAACAACTCGTTTTCGGCTCTTTAGGTAGCTCGTATTCGAATCGTTCGTCAAGTAAGCGAGCTTAATGCAAACACATTTTTTAAGCTTGAATTTTAAACGATCCAAACACAAACAATCCTTTTTTTGATCGTTTTCGCGTGTTTTAGCTTGAAATAAGAAAATTATATATATTATTTTTATAATATATATATATATATATATATATAGAGAGTGAGAGAGAGAGAGAGAGAGAGAGAGAGAGAGAGAGAGAGAGAGAGAGGGGATTATCATGTGGTTATGCGCTTTTGTTGCATATGAATGGAGTAGATTCGAATCCAACGCCCTACATCTCTTTTTCTACTTGATTTAAATGAGACAATTTTTTTGCCAAACATGAGCCGAACACGAACATGAATATCTAAACCAAGCCGAACACAAACAACTCTACTCATGAGTAATTTCAAACATGAACCAATTTCGATCTGAATTAACTTTGAATGAGCCGAACACAAGCCAAGCCTAAATTTGCTAAAATTTATCTCATTTACATCCTTATTCAGAGGTAGCTAGATAGAAGTTGTTCAGAAAGGTTTTGTATAAAATAAATTTAACACCTCAATCAGTGCTAGATATGTGATAGTAAATAATATAGATTGGTATGGATTTAGTATAACAGTTTTCATAAACTTTGTTGGTATGGATTTTCTTATCGATTTTTTATTAATAAAGGTGATGCTTGACGCAGAATAAGACCGAAGAAGTTGGGATGCCTTGAATGCTTTCTGTTTGTATTAGAAGGCATGACTTGGACTGCTTGCAGAAAATTTCTTGAAGCGTTATATTCTGCTTGACTTAACTTCTTAGAATGCTTTGGTTTGCTAAACTGTGGCAATCACCGCTTAGTATTCAAATCTAGCCTGAGGTAAGAAGATTAGATTTCTGACACCTCTTTTTTTTAAATAAAAGTGTTCATCTGAATATTTTTATTTATAAGAGTCAAGTTTTGGCTATGCTTGTCGAATGTGCAATAGTGTTCTACGCCTAGATAGTTAAATAGAAAGAAATGACTGTTCAAATTTAGGAACTATAATATTTTGTTGTATGAATTATGAAAATTATTTTCAAAACTGGTTTTTAAAACATGGTTTATGTTTGTTTTAGAAAATCATTCCATTTCATTTCAACTTTATTCTCGTTGTCATCTTTATCACTTTAAATTTGTTCTTCCGTATGGATAATTGCATCCCTGATTTTATTTCTAGCCATATTTTCACCTCAATGTTCATCTGTTGGTTCCTTAAATAATTTATGTACCATATGGTCTTGAGCTTGGTGCTGATGTGCCTTTAAAGAGTCTAGTGCTAAATGAGGTATATGCGATATTAATGACTGCTTTTGACACCAAGATGTACGTGACTCTACCTTTGAAATATGCTTGCTTCATCTTATTACTTTTTTTGGACTATTAGTGAGAGG